ACTCTTTTATGTGGTGTATCTATGTAATGACCAATCTTTGTGTGGCATGGTTAAGTGCTTGAATGCTATTGTACATCTTGTATTGAGCATAGTATTAATGTTGTTGTAGATGTTGTATTGAGCATAGTATTAAATCAACTGGTGAGCTTTAATTTTATTTTTGTGCTTTATCAATTAGTGAGCTTTGCTTCATCTTTTTTGTGGTAAGTGTTATCTCTGAGTATCTTCCCTTAGATGCTTACAATGATGATAAATGAGTTCATTTGTTGTGGTTGTCTTATAAGCTGTATAAGCAATTGCAATTAGCGATATTCTTTAATTTGTGATTTTTTGTTACAATAATAACTAGCAATTGGTGATATCTTATAGGAATTTATGGGATATTTTTTTGTGTGTTGCATGCATCGTGCTTGACGAAATGTTTTCAAGCACTCTTTATGCAGATGGGTTAGGCTTATCATAGTTTCCAAGCACATGGAAATGTTTTTGAGCACATTGAACTAAAGATTAACCATTGTTTTTTTGCATTTGGTTAATCTTTTGCCCAATGTTAATTTTCTTATTAATTTGGTGTTCTTGATTTATTTTCTTTAGGAGTCTCTCTCTCTCTCTCTTGCACATGCAGCACCTGAACAAACAATAACACAAGGTATTTTTAACGATTTTGTAACACTATTTTTTGGCTTGATAAGAATTTACTTGCTTGCAACGATTATTAAATTTGCAGCCTTCGATTTTTAATTGTTCGATGGAATTTTGTAAGTCTTAAAAAATGATTGATTCTATTAATGGGATCCTAGGATTTAAGATAAGAAAGGTGATGATAGGTAATTTAGACAACATTGAACTTTGTTTATCTTGATGGAAAGGTTGAACATGTAAATTTGAACAAGCACAATAAATTAATATGGCTTAAACCAATAAAAGGTCCAGCTTATAATTTGCTTTAGTGAAAAGATTTGACTTTCAACCTGAACTTGGGGGTAGCTCTTCCTATAGTTTTCTTATTAATTGTTTGATTTTCTTGGTATTACTATTTTTGGTTTTTAGTTTTCATTTTGTTCATGAGGTTGCAAAGATGAAATGTGTACGACATCCAATTATTTGTCATTCTTTCTTCTTCTTTTTTTTTTTTTGGTCTTTATGGATTTAGGACCTCTTGAGCCAATGAGACACTAAAAAACTTATGCTTCAATTAGTTTTTAGTTTCTTTGAGAATTATGGCTTTTAGTTATCATATTCTTTACATGCGGTCAATTACAATGTTTAGTATAAGGGAATATCCAAAATATTCTACCTGCCACACACACATTCTTTAATAATAAGTAGGTACTATGAACTTAGCTTTTATATAAGAGAAAATGTTGCTACACCCTACATTCAAGTCATAAGTTTTTGAGAAAATTAGATGGAGTTATTTTACTATGAGGTTTTTCAGTTTGGGTTATACCAAACAGTTTAGTTTCATGCTTGATGCGCATCGTATTATTGTCATTGAAACATACATCTAAAGTTCAAGATTCTTGAAAAAATCATAGCTTAATTTTCTCAAAGTAACTTACTTGGACTGTTTTATCAAATGGTTTAATTATATTGGACATATATGAGGGTGAAGAAGAAGAAGAGAGATCATAATTTGTTATTTTTTATACAGATTTACGTACGAGAAGCTCCGATTCCTCTTATTATCTTCACATATTTACATAAGTGTAAGAGAAGCGAAACACGAGGCCATGTGTTATTGAAATTTGGGGTGACTTTATGTTTTATTTATTTTTTTAGGTTTTGGACTTGATTGTGTAATTTGAATAGAATTCCTTTTATTATTGCTCTCCGAGTTTATGAATTATCTATTTCACAGGATGTGTGCATTTACTAGCCCATGAATACTTGGCTTTGTATTTCTAAAGTTTTGTTAGAGAGCTTTGTTAGAGAGCAAATGCATTTCTCATGTTTACTGCCCCTCTCATCTATTGCACTCTCTCATGTCTCCCTCTCTGTCATGTCAGTCTTGTCTATTGTCCTTCTATTTTCATTTATTCCTTCCTATCTGCATCTCACTCTCTTGCAACTCCTTCGATTTCTATGTTATTAGCTTTCAAATATTTTCTATGTGCCATAGCATTGTGTTTGTGTTTGGAGAATTGCTTTCAAATCTTATGGCACAACTCTTCGAATTACAGAGACTTTATTAAGTATCTTCCATCTGTTAACTGGTTACTAGTTAAGTTAAAAAGTGTCGTTACCGAACTAGGCTAAGTTAATTGGTTTTATGTTTCCTCTTTTTTTTTTCTGTTCTTTTTTTGTGCTGTAATGTCTTCTTGAAATTTTTATGTTATTTACATCAAGTATCCTCATTTTTCTCCCCCTAAAATAAGCTCTTGAATTACACAAAGAATCGAACTTTATCAAGCAAAACTTGTCTCTACCAAAGTACTGTAAGTTAATTGATTCTATGTTCAGTCTTTTTTTTTTCATTTGAATATGTTTTTTCACTCTAATTTCTGCTTGAAATTATTTATACTGGAAATCTATATATTTAAAATGTTTTACAGTGTGATTGCTCAGAGCCTTAGATGGGTAGTCATGTCCTTTTTTTTTATGTCAAGGTGAGTGGTAAAAGATTGTAGAAAGATTGTGCATCATGTACACATTAGAAATCTTCCAATAGGGGGCATGTATCAAGAATGCATTATGGCAGCTACAAGAGTCAAGAAAAGCCTAATCTACTGCCTATGAGGCAAGGATTGATGAAATAATTAGAATTCTAAAGACAATTAGAAACATTCAAAGCCAAAGCTCTTCTTAAATGTGGTGGCACTTAAATTTTGGCTTCAAAGCTAAAGCCAAAGCTCCTGCTTTGAAGAGAGTAGGCTCAAAATTTTTCGCTAATTAAATATTGGCGATTTGGTCTTCAGTTTAAATTTATGTAATTGAATTGTCTCTATCTCTTCATTAAAATTTGTTTTCACGAGAATCTTTATACATATAATGCTTTATTGAGCATGTATGCAAAGCGGGTATATTAAGGATGTAGTTTAGGCATTTGGTGATTTGCTTGAGCCTAATGTGTGCCCATATTCAGTGTTTGATTTTTTTTGTTTCATGATCAATGTTCGATTTTTTTTTTTGAATTATATAGTGCGTTGAGGTACGGGTTATCGCTAGTTACACAATATTACATGTCTGCTAGATGTGACTAACACTATTTGAACTTAAAAATATGATCGAATTTGCTAATATAATGATATGACTTCATTGAAATCATTAGATCAACATCAAATTTCAATATTTGATGGGGTCCACAGTTAATCTAAAGATTATAGTGAATTAAGTCAATAATTAGGTTAATAAATTATATCTCAATAACATTACTTAATATTAAAACTAGAGCAATGTTATTAAGATCGAATATACTGACATAATTTTATGGTATTCTAGGTAGCCCAAGGCCCTAAATTCAAAGGATTTGCCAAAATTTAAAGGCTAATTTATTAACGTCATTAGATTAGCAACAAGGCTCAATATTGGATGAAATATATTATCAATCCAACAATCTTAATAGATTAGGCTTCAAAATTAAATTAATAAATTAGATATGAATAACATTATTTTTTGTAAATAATATGACGTCGACGTCATTTCATGCAATTTTTGCCTAACGACACAAGCTTCCTCAGTTCCAATTACAAACTAGGCCCAATAATATTTGACTATTCCACTATGGTCTTTATCTCACTCTTTTTTTTTTTTTTGAATTATTGATGTTTTCACGTTGTACCCTTAACTACGTGAATCATCTCCTCAAATACAAAAGTAAGTTGTGTTTTAGAGAAAAAAAACACAACATGTTGCCATTAGACAATTTTCTGACAAATTTGCAAACATGTTAATTAGTAGGATAATGCAAGATAGAGCCACAAGCGAGGGATCACAGTGTGATTTTCTCAACAAGATAATGCCCATTTTTGGCTTTATTAAGTGTGCTATTCTCTGTTCAAGCATTGTCCTCTGTTTATGGGGTTTTAGTCAATGTTGCCATAAACAAACCGGTCATCGAACCGGTTAAGAGATTGGACCAATAATTTACTAGTTTAATCGATAAGTCAACTAGTCGGACTAATTATATAATAAAAAAATAATAAAAAATATATATATATATACCTGACATTGTAATTCATAATGGTATTTTCGTTAATAATTTTAACATTAGTCTCATTCTGGTATTTAGCGGTAGTTTAATTAACCGCTACGATGATCACCCAGGACTCTCTCTACATATCTATATATATATATATATATATGGGTGTGTGTGTGTATGTGTATCAGCAATCAACTTCACAGGTGGGTGATGGGTTTAATCCCTTGGATTTCTTTCTCTTTACTTTGTTGTTGCTGGTTGCTGGGTTTAATCCCTTGGATTGTTCGTATAGCGACATATATATATGTGTGTGTGTGTGTGTGTGTGTGTATGTATCAGCAATCAACTTCAAACGTGGGTGATGGGTTTAATCCCTTGGATTTCTTTCTCTTTACTTCCTCTTTACTTTGTTGTTGCTGGTTGCTGGAATTAATCCCTTGGATTGTTCGTATAGCGAGTTAGGGTTCTTATTGGATCGAGCAAATATGCACCGAGACCCAGCGCAAGGACTGAGGTTCGTCGGAGTCGATACAAGGTTGCCGTCGATGCAAAGGAAGACAGCGTAGGAGAGAGGACAACATGGTTGAGATCCGGAAGAGCAGAACCGTCCGTGGTCTTCAAATCGTCCGGTTCACGGTTTTTTACCAAAATTGGCCGATTTTTTGATTTTTAATCAGTTCTTTTTTTTATACGGTCTAACTAGAGAATCAGACCGGTTAAGATCCCAGTTCACTATTGAACCGGTCAAACCGGCCAATCTGATCTGGTTTTGATAACACTGATTTTAATAGACTACAACATTGCTTAACTAATAATACATTTCCATGATCCACACATCCATTAGAATTTATAACAAAAGTTAAGTCAAAATACTCAGAGTAATACATTTTAAGCACAATGTATAATTACACTCTCCACATTCGAATATGGGTCTATAAATATCAGAAGCATGACCACAACTATAATACGAGGTCCTCTTCCTTACCATTCGTACAAATGTCAGAGGGTGTGGGTGACAATTAACTTCAAGTTTGCCCCCATACTTGACATATGAATAATAGTCTTTAATACATTTGGTATGAAATGATTGATCGCAATCACGACAATGATAGATCCAACGGTGGGGATTTATTTCGTCCTCACACATTTCACAATGAAACTCATCAGGATGATCACTAAATGGAGGATAGCTCAAGGTGAGGAGATGTTTGTCCCATCCATGTTTGATGGTAGGTGGGAGCTGAGCACTGGAGTGAGATATTTTGAACTTGCATTCATCACATTTAAATCCGCTTGTAGAGAAGTTGAAACCACTTCCACTGCAGAGATCTTTTGAACCTTTCATTTGAACCAATGGATGCTTGTGAGCTTGATGTGCAATCGAAGAAGGTAGTAAAGCACATTTGACATCAAGGAAGAATTCACACTTTTCACACCCATAGAAGAATCCATTTTGATGTATGAAACACGCAGCGCAGCGAAAGAGCGTGTAGAATTTTATACCCCGACGAAGTTCCATTAGGTGTTCATGATGAATTGGGTGCTGCAATTCTACTGGTAAGTTGACACAACTAAAATGGAGAAAATAGTTGCATTGAGCACAAAAGTAAAACGGAAATGATATTGGTTGTACACAACCATCACATAACATAATCTCATCATTGATATCATCGTCCTTTTGCACATCAAAAAGGATTAGCGGATGCTCATGACTCCAATGGATGAGCTCGGCCTCTCTATCAATATCTTCAAGATTGATTTGTTTAGCAAAATGTCTAAACAATTCTAAGGAACCATCGGTCACTGGTAAGTGTAGTAGATTAGGGTCGGTTGATTTATCAACTTCATTCTCATTTTCACCACATCTGAAACCACAAAATTCCAAACAAAACATTTACTTGACAATAAGAAAATCACTACGAATATTTTAGTAGAAAGAGTGACAAAATTGAACAAGACACAATGAGTAAACTCACCTTAATGACTTTGGAGTCATAATTGAACATCTCACATGGATAAAATATCTACACAGGACACAAAAATAAGCCCAACCACCCTTAGAAATATAGAGATCACAAATACCACAACGCTGTTCGAAATTGGTTAACTCAAAATAATGGTAAATGAAGGTGAGAGAGTGATGGTGATAACTACGGTCGATGATTTTAGGTAACGAAAGACAATTCTTATGGACCAAGAATTGACAAGTCAAACATATATAGGACATGTCTTCACTTTTTATACGGCAAACATCACAAATGAAAGAGGATGGCTTAAGTATGGGGGTCAAAGGATGTTCATGAACTTCATGTGTAATCATGCGTTCCACTTCATGTGTAATCTCACGTTCCGGAATAAAACATGACACGCATACATTAAAATTGCAAAGAGAACAAAAGTAGTTGAATCGATCTCTCCTTTCTTCACAACCATCACAAATATATCCAGGAATACTGTAAGGCGAACTTGGATGGAGGGTTAGAAGGTGTTTAGAGTGTGTGTAGTGCTTAACCTCTTGGGGGAGTTTCGCACAACTTTTATGTAGAAAGTAAGAACAACCTCCACAATTATATGCAGAGTCTAATATCAGTTTCTCACACGCATAATAGAAACATTTGTCACCTTCATCCTCCTTTTGCACTTCTTTGAGGATCAATGGATGCTCATGGCTAAAATGTTGAAGCTCCATCTATATTTCTTGGTGGGAAAGAGAGCACGAGGAGGCGGCAGGGTGGTAGGTTTTTGACGCTGTAACAATGAAATTGTATATCTGATACGAATTCAATGATACATACAATTTTATCTACTTTCTGACGTGCATAAAAAAGAGGCCTTTTACATACAAACCTTTGTTTAGAGGAAGGAATTAGGAATCCATTTTCCTGGTCGTGGAAGGAAGGAATGCTAACCTTTGTTTAGAGAAAGGAATTAGGAATCCATTTTTTGGAAAGTTGAAAGGAAGGAATCCTAACCTTTGTTTAGAGGAAGGAATTAGAAATGCATTCTCCAGAATGTGGAAGGAAGGAATTCTAACTTTTGTTTAGAAGAAGGAATTAGAAATCCATTTTCCGAAAGGTGGAAGGAATCCACTATTACTTTAGTTGGAAAAAGCATTTGTGTCTCGATACCATTGTGTTTTCCCAATCCCACTGTATGAAATAAAAGAACTGAAACTTAAAAAGAGTAATGCTACAGTGATCAAATTTTGAGTCCAAATGACATGACATTTGATTATTTGAAACTTTTATTGGGACCCAAATGACATAACACCAATCAAAGAAACCCAAATCAACTGTCATGTCATTTGAACTCTAAATTTGATCAGTGCGCTGTGCACCCTGAAATATTTCACTATTTTTATTTTACTCTCTCAAAACTTATATTTCTCATATTACAGTCTCAATATACCAAAAGTATTTCAATGTGACCCTTCTATTAACCTCCGTTATTTTTCCGTCAAAAGCCAACTAATTGACACTGACAAAAAGCTAACAAAATAGTCACATTACTATACTTTTGATACATTGAAGGTATAATATTAAAAATTTAAACTATTAAACTTAGGCTAACAATTTGAAATATTGAAACAATAATTGCTAAAAAATATAGTTCTTTGAAACTATTGTATTATGTTTTCAGTGTGAATGTCGTGTCTAGATTGGTGTTCCCCTAGTATCAGGAGTTCGAATAGCACGTGCCATTTTTTGCAATTTTTCCAAAAATTGAACAACCACAAGAAGGAAAATCTTAGGAAATGAATACCATGCACTAAGAAGTACGATTTGCTATAGAGTTCAGAAGTGTGACTTTCTGGGAAATAGAAGAAAGTATATAGAGTTGAGGTTGAACTCACTATAAGAAAAAGTATATTCAACTAGAAAAAATTTTCTAGGTAAAAGAGGAATAATTGTCCGTAAAATACATTCCCTAAGAAAAAATTTTGTCAGCCTGTTCGTTCGAACAAGCGGATGGCTAAAAATATTTACTGGCGAAAATTAATTTTATAGTATGTTTTGCTAGAGAAATTTTTTGTCATTAATTGTCTTAGAATTTGTAATTGTTTAATATATTTCGTAGAGCAAAATTGAGGAAATGAAAATTAGAAGTCAAAAGTCTATTTTTCCCTAGGGATATATTTTTGTGGGTAAAAGTCTAATGTTTTCCCTAGGAAAATGTTTTCCTAGTTAAAACTTTGTTTTTTTTTCTATTTTTTAAAAAATAATGACATTGAAATGGATTAAATTATTAAAAATAGTTTGAAGAAACCAAAAAAATTAACTAAAACTCATCAAAAACAGTGCACAATACTCCATTACTATCTGTTATAATATTATAAAGAGAAACCCCCTTCTAATTAGGTTTAAATGCAATGACATCTCCTCTCGATTATGAAATTTCACCGACACATGCTGTTAATTATTGTCTGTTCACGGCGTTAACGGCAAACATTGTTTTACACAAATATCCCTTAGAATTTTATAGGATAAATTTCATCGACGCACCTTGTAAATAAGCCTAACCTCAACAGCACCCCCTCCTGATTTTAAAATTTCACTGTACTCCCATTTAGTTCTATTATATTAATTTTAAGGTTAATCAATTTAACATTTAATTTTTTCAAATTAATGTCCTTTTTTAATTTAAACTAAATTAATATCTGATCTCATCAAATCAACACAAAATTGATATTTAATTTAATCAAATTAATATTATTACCTTGATTAAAATTAAATTATTATTTAATTTCATCTAATCAGCAATAAATTGACATTCAATTTTATCAAATCGAAATTTAATTATTTTAAATAGAATATTAAATTTCATTAATTTCACATTTAACCTCATCAAATTAATGTCATTTATTTAATTTAATACCAAATTAACATTAACTTTCATAGCAACAATTAAATTTATTCAATTAACATTAAATTTTATCAAATTAATACTAAATTAATATTTAATTTTTTCAAATTAACATTGAATTTTATCAAATTAATACTGAATTAATATTTAATTTTATTAAATTAACACCAAATTAATATTTAAATTTGTCAAATTAAGACTAAATTTTTACAATTAAGATTAAATTTTATCAAATAATATTTAAATTTGATATGTGAAGGGTGATGTTTTAAGAGTGGTTGTATGACGTTGTGAAGGACACACGATAGCAAAAGAATTGAAAATGGATGAGACTTTGACATTGACTTTATCAATTATAATTTTTATTGTAGAGAAAATATTTTTAACTATAAAAATTACAAAAACTCAATTATGTGAGTGATAATATGATGATTAATATTTATACTAATATATATATTCTTAGTGGTATTTATAATAAAGTTAGCATACAATACTTTAAAATGATAAAAATTCATTGAGATCAATTGAAAATGACTATAATTCACCTTATTTGAATGATTTTATTTTGTGTAAAAAATAATTTCATTAGATATAAATATATCATCCTATTTATCAAAAAAAAATAAAAAATTAAATTTTATAAAATGCCTACCCAAGACATTTTAGTTTATTAAAATAGCTGAGGGTAATTTTAGTATTTTTAAAAAATAAATAGTCAAATCATGTATTTTATCTACTGTTACGGATAGAAATTATTGTTAGGGAAGCGTCTATAATTCGACAATATACACTAAAAGGGAGTGTAATGAAATTTTACAATCGGAAGAGAATGTCATTGCATTTAGATCTAATTATGGGAGTGTGAATAAAACTTTTCCCATTATAAAAATACACTCGGAAAAAACAATAAAGGTATAACCTCTCAAGTTCAGCTGTGGCACTCTCCTCTTGCAATGATATACGAGAAAAATGTACAACATATTACATGTCTGCTAGATGTAAGGCTAAAAAAGACAACTGGTGTGGTACTCAAGGTACTCCTACTCCCTCTCCCTTGCCAACTTGGCTGCTGCAGAGAAACAACCAAAGACCACGGCACATTCCACAATGCTGCAATGACAAAGAAGGAGGGAGACTTTATGCATTAGGGGGAGGTTATCTACACCACGTAATCAAGAAGCAACAAACAAATAACTAGACTCATACTAAAGTGCACACATAGTATGAATCTTCAAGACTAACATCAACCATTTCCTTAATTAAATCACATTAGATACTCTGACAGACAAAGAAAATGATACCTAGATGTTAATTAAATCACATTATTTTAAAAAAATAATGACATTTATATGGATTAAATTATTAAAAATGGTTTGAAGAAACCAAAAAATTAACACAAATATCCCTTTATATTTTATAGGATAAATTTCATTCACGCCCTTGGTAAATAGGTCTAACTTAAACAACACCCCCTCCCGATTCTAAAATTTCACTGTTCTCCTATTTAGTTCTATTATATTAATCTTAAGGTTACTCAATTTAACATTTAATTTTATCAAATTAATATGTTTTCTTTAATTTAAACTAAATTAATATTCGATCTCATCAAATCAAGTTCAAGAGAGAACTGCTTCCTTATTTTTATTCATACACCAAAAGTAGAGTTACAACTTAACTTATATAAGTTATCGTCGAACTTGGTAAACCTTTGCATATATTGAATACGAGTCATATCTAGCTTGATAATTGCATTAAGGATTCACTAATTGCATTGAGGTCATATCTTTTGAGCAGGTAGGTTGGGTTTGGTTCGTATTTCAGGATTGTCTCTATTTATGACACCAATTGTGATGTCCCAAGTTACCTTAATAACTACATCGCAAAGAGGTTTCCAACCCAAGACACTTCTTCTAGGTTAGATATGTCAAAATATGATACGATTCGTTAACACGATATAAAGTTAGAGGGTTTAAGTCTTTTTTAAACCACTCGTTTCGTAAACGAATGGACTTGACATGACTCGATTAATAAACGAATCGAGTATGAGTTAAGTCAATCAAAAAAAATACACTACATGACTCGTTTATATATTAGTTATATACGGCATGAACTCGACATGACACGACTCATTAAACACAAATTAATAAACGAATCAGATATGAGTAGAGTATTTTTTAACATAAATCCGTTAATATTCGATATAAACCTATTTCACCTTACACGATTGACATATCTAATTTAGATAAAAAAAAAAAAAAAAGAAGAAGAAGAAGAAATATATTATTGGCCAACACTATCTTAATTCAAGCCCATAATACATTAGTCTGTCTGAACTCAGATTATTGAGTAAACAGCTGGGCTTGCTCTATAAGACCAAATAACTTCACCAATTACGTAGAACGGGTTGAAACATCCACAGCTCCACAGCAATTTTATTCGGAAAATTT